CACCACCGCCACCTGCGCGAGGCCCAGCGGGCACAGCGTCTACATTCGCACTTTCGCCACGGGTGCCGCCAGGAGATCCACGGGGCCGAGGAGAGCGGCTTCGCCTCGGCCGGCGCCCTTTAAGGCTCGAGAGGTGCGGCCCAGGGAGCCTGGAGATTGGCCGCATTCCCCGGAGAGTGGGCTTCACCACGACTATCCAGCTGCTTTGGCCTGGGGTCCTTGACGAATCGGCGGCGACGGAAGCAGCGACTAATCCCTGAGGAAAAAGGGGGCGGGGCGGAGGGGAGGAGGCCAGCCAGAGCTGGGGAGATTTGAGTGGCGCGTTGAACAGACGCAGATTCGTCAGGCGGGCGGGGCGAATCGGTGGACGGGATGCGCGCTCCTTCTCTCCTCTTTCCTGCCTCTTCCTCGCGCGGCCAAAGACCTAAAAGGCTGCAGATTCGCCACAGGTCCTGGCCTCACTGTCGCCTCCCTTCACCCGCCTTGCTGGAGTCAAGAAAATAATGCCTGGTTAGCCAAGCCCTGTTGGCAGAGTTGGCCACTTTTTTGGATCTTTCTTAGTAGCGCAGCTTAGGGGATGCCCAATTCCGACCCTGGGGAAATGGCTACGGCCCAAAGCTGCTCTCGGAGTATTATGAGAATTTTCGGCCGAGTGTAGAGAGGCCCAAGTAATTCTGAGGAAGAGCCGGCCTGGCGAATCTGCGGACCCTCCTGTGGGCGGGGCCAAGGCGCGGCGCGCAGAGGGCGTGGCCAGGGCGTGTAAAGCCGGGCGTCGCGGGGGCGCTTCCTGTAGGACCCACCGAAACCGTGCGGGCTGGGAGGGGCGCCCAGGAGGTGGAAAAATACAACCAACAGTGGTGACTCAGGCCGTTTGCCTGGCGTCGCACATAATGCGGGGAAGGTTTTCCTGTCGCCATCCCCCTTGGGCCTCTAGCTGTTTAAGATGCCCATTTGACAGACTGGGAGACTGAGGCCTGCAGAAGGTGCCGCATTTTACCTATACTCGACCCACCATTCGTGATTCAATCGAAGGCTACCTCAAAGTAATGTTATAAGACTTGTGGGGCCTAAAGGCCCTAGAACAGGTCTTGTGAAAAATAAACTAGTACGTACTGGAGCTGGGATGGTCGATTCTTCAAGCATCATGGTCCCAGTGCCCACCGTTTTCAGCGGGGTGGGGGCTAAGCTTACGTGGTCCCGCCGCTCGAGGGCAGCACCGGCCCAGGCGCTGAGGTCACCGAGGCTGGGCATCCTTTTCTTTCGCTGGGACGCAGGGCATCTTGGTTTCTGGGTAATGGCACTCCCAGGAGACCCCTCGGCTTGAGCTGAGGATGCCCTAGCTTTCAGACATGTCTATCTACGTTAGTCCCTCGCTGTGTGACCTTGGGCAAGCCACTGACCTCTCTGAACTTAAGATTCTTCCTCTGAAAAGATGTTAATTCCTGTCACGCAGGACTACTGTAGGCGTCGGAACAGTGCAGGAAAGGTAGACCTGGTTCATGCAAATTGGCAATTCTAAGTAACAGGAAAAGAGAAAAGACGGACTTGACCGAGGTCGCAACGTGGTAAGAATAGATGAGAGGATTAGAACCCCTTAAAATTTTGAGGAAAATTAGGCTGAAAAGAATTTTCATGAACGCATGGTGATGAGAGCAGATTCCTGTCTCTTGTCTCAGTTGAAAGGTATTGGCTTTTTATATCAGAAAGAGATTCCCCGTGCTATGGTAAAGGTAGTCCAAGTTTTCATTGGCTTTGGGCAAGATCCTCCCTCAGCTTTCGCAGGTCTGTTTCTTTATCTCTGAAATGCAAATGATAAATACTTGTCTCTTGAGGTGGTTGTGAGAATTAGATAAGGTTACCTAGCTTCTAGTATGTAGTAGTCACTCAAAAAAGTTACACCAAAAGAAGCTTATTCTAAATCCACAACGGAAGAGATGGAGACTCTGGGCTCAGGAACAAGAGTGCAAACATTTTTGGCTTTGGAATAACTCAGTCTCCAAATCAGGAGCTACTGGCCCCTGTCAGCGCCAGAAGGGGGTCATATCTGGAACCATTCTCCACCTCCTGGTATACCTGCTCGCACCTGGCTCTTAGGAATAAGTCACCTGGGGGCGCCTGGGCAACTCAGTCTGTTAAGGATCTACCTTTAGCTCAGGTCATGATCCCACAGTCCTGGGATCGAGCCCCATGTCGGCTTCCCTGCTCAGTGGGGAGTCTGCTTCTCCCTTTCTGCTCACACTCTCTCTCTCAAATAAATAAACTCTAAAAAAATAAGAGAGAGAGAGAAAGTCACCTGATCCCAAGGCGGCCTCTCCTTCACCCCATTCAAAGCCACAGAGACATCTGTGAAACACATTTTATTATACAAAACAAGGTGCATCAAAAACTCAGTGTCAGAATAGCTCTGTATTCCAAGGGCTAGTGACTGGACCTTCTCCCTTAAAACCTTCTCACCCCAAGACCCTTTCTAGGGAGTCAGGTTGGGCACATGGGCCCTCAGTCTCCAAAGATCTCCAGCCCTGGCCTAGGAGAGTGAGAACCAGACATAGAAGCTTAAGTGTGGGTGTAGGGCAGTGGGGCAGGCACTTGAACCTCCAAAAATAGGGAGGCTCCTCCTAGGTAAGGCTGGACCTATGTCTGTGGTAGAACCACACAAATCCTCTACAGCAACTAAAGCAAGAATGTGGAACCCATCAAAATCTGGAGATGGGGGAAAGCTTCCCCCAAATGCCAACCACAAAGTAGATTCTACAGAAATAAAGCAAGGGTTGACTGCCTTCTGAGGCAGCTGGCTGGGTGTGTAACCTTCTGACCTCCACATCCTGTACAGGGGTAAGTGGCTAAGGGTCAGCACCAAAGGTCTGACCAGGATCTCCCTGCCTCCCCTCTACCTACCATGATCCTTGGACTGAAGACCTGCTACTTCCTCGCTTGCTCCTCCCAGCCCAGATGTTGAGTAGACAGACTGGGATAGACTGACAGGGAGAATCCCTGGGAATGTGGAAGCTGCCCCAAGGCCCAGCCCAAAGGACCCTGAAGGCAGGAATCTGGTCTCTGCCTGAGAGTGGCCACAAGAAGCGGCTCCAGGCAGGGGCAGGGAATGGGGTCTGCGGACCGGGGTCCCCTTGCAGACCGGAGGGCGGCAGTGTTTACAGCGGTAGCGCACGTGGGCCTCACACAGCCTGCAGCTCCCCCTGCAGGCGACTCAGCTCCTCCAGCTCCTGCTTGTGGCGGTCGGTCTTGTGTGCCACCAAGGAGCGGTAGAAATGCAGGGCAAAGGCCACGAACACAAGCCCCACGGGTACCATGATTGCCGTGGAGGCCATGGCTGCTTGCCAGCCTGGCCCATGGGCCCCTCCTCCAGCAACACACCCTTGCCGGGGTGGGCAGGCCTCAGATGGCTCAGCCCGTGATGGAGCTACAGAAGTGGAGGACGCCTTGGAAGCTGGACGAAGGGAGGTGGTCAGTGGTAACAGAGTCCCAGGCACCTGGGAGGCAGGTACCACGGGGGCTGGTGTGCCCAAGGGCGTCCCAATGGGCACAAACTTGACCCAGCCAACCAGGACAACTTCAGCGAGGAAGAGGAAGGTGCCCAAGGCAGTGGAGAAGCCCCAGGCCAGCTCCACGTAGCGGTGGAGTCGCTGGTGTGGCGACTGGTGGACAGAGTTGAGGTTGTGGATGTTGCTAACGGCTTCTATGTGGGGCAGCAGACACGTGGAGACCATGAGTGCAAAGAGGTGCACGGCTACTAGCACGGTGGTGCAGGCACTAAAGGCCACCAGCAGGCCTGGCGGGTATTCATGGTCGCTCTCCAGCTGTACCTCCACCATGGCCACCTATGGGGACAGAGGAGACGGATTGAGTGCCCACCACCTCTTTGGCAGTAGAGGGTTGTTTTGCCCGTTGGTATACATCACCAGGGCATCCCTGGGGCCTAGAACGGTGCCTGGCAGGAAGGAGGTGCTTAGTCTCTGTTGAGTGAATGAACTGGCCACCTTGGTAAGGCTCTGTGCTGTTCTGGCTTTGGTTTCTGCACCTGGCTATCGAGAGGGCTGACACATTAGATGACACATTTCTGAAAATCTTACCTTGTTAGGGGGGTTAAAAAAGCAGGTTGTGGGGGTGGCTGGGTGGCTCAGTCGGTTAAGCGCCTGCCTTCAGCTCAGGGCATGATCCCAGGGTCCTGGGATCGAGCCCCACATCAGGCTCCCTGCTCAGAAGGGGTCTGCTTCTCCCTCTCCCTCTGCACGCACGCGTGCACACACACACACACACACACTCTCTCTCTAATAAATAAAATCTTTTTTTTAAAGCAGTTTCTGGAGCTGGGCCGCCTGGGTTTACTCTCAGCTCTACAAGCTGCGGAATCTTGAGCAAGTGATTTAGTTCTATGCCTCAATTTCCTCATCTGGAAAGTGGGGATTGATAATGATACCTACTTACCTTACAGGGTTGTTGTGAAAATTAAGTGAGATAATGTACACCAAGCACTAAGAATAGTATAAGGCACACAGTAAGCTCTAGGTGTTTGTTGTTATTATTACGGTTATTAACTGTTCTTTTTTTTTTTGGTTATTAACTGTTCTTAATACTGGTGTTATTATTAGTGTTAGGGGAGAGCAAGGCTCTTAAGAACACTGAATGAAGTCCAAGGCCAGAGTTTGCAAACTGGTATACCATGAACCCAAGCCAACTTTGCACACATGTTTTGCTTGGCTCATACAGTGTGTTTTTTAAGGAACTAGGTTGCACTTTTAAAACTCAAGAGATTTCCTATAAATATCCCTATTTCTAGATCCCCTTGAAAATTTGGAAGATCTGGTTACACCAGACCCACATTCCTACATGTCAACTATCAGCTAGAGTTGAGTCATGACTGCTCCCTTTGGACAGGTCATGGGGTCTCCTGATAGCCATCCCCACTCAGTCCATAATACCTGCCTGTCCTTTGCAAACATTTGCGTTGATTATCCTATTCTAGAGTTGTATAAATTTGGATTCCAGAGCCAGACTACCTAAGTTCAAATTCTGTCACTTACTTGCTGTGGGATCCTGGGCAGGTCTCTTAACATCTCTGATTTGTTTTCTCATCTGTAAAATGGTCATAGTAGTGGTACCTACTTCACAGAATAATAAATGTGATACACATTAAAAGCTGGTACTGCATAACATGGGACACACATTACCTGGTACTGCATGACAGGGCAATACAATTTGTATAATGTGATTCTAATCCAGGGTACCCAAATACCAGAATCTGGATCTTTCCCCATGCCTGGTTCTAGCAGGACCCATTAGATTGCTCTGGGGCTGGGGGAAGGAAGAAGGTACAGTCTGGAGGGTGGTGGTTAGGAAGACAAAGCTAAGTATTTTGGGAAACTGGGCCATGGCGAGTGTTAGCAGTTTCCACAGACAGAGATCTGGGCCAAGCCTAGGCCTGGTTTCTCCCAGAGCCTGACCCAGCCTTGCTCTCCCCTGGCAGGACTGGGGCAGTCCTGCCCCCAGAACCCACTCATCTGGCCTTTTGATCCTGCAGAGAAGGTCCTGGCGTTTAAGCTGTCACCCTGGCAACATGCAAGTCCAGCAGCAGGCTGGATTGTCCCCTTGGGAACAGGCTGGACCACGGCATGGATGGGGGTGGGGGACCTCCCTCAGCCAGGTCCATGAAGTCACTTCCTTCCCTCTGCAGTCTGTACAGGTGAAAGGGAGTCACTTCCCTGTCCCTAGCTGACCCCACATCAGGAAAAGTGGGCTGGCCTATGGATACTGGGCCCCCAAAGAGAAAACCATAGACCCTGGATGTCGCCTAGGGATAGACTTTTCCTCTCATCATTCAAATACAGAGGCTCTGGTAAAGAGCAGGGCAGAGACTAACGCAAATCACCTAGTGCTGTGACCCCTCCATCCCCATCTCCATAGGTTCCTATGAAGACCGCCCCCCTCCAGCTTGCTTTCTCCTTCCCATCATGATGGTGGAGAAACTCTGGACTAACAACAGTTCAGTGATCCAGGGTCCTAGATCATTCTGCAGCATTCATCTGCTGAGCACTCTTGGCAGAGGCACTGCCCCATTCTGGGCCTTGGTTTCTATGCCTGCCCAATAAACAGGTAGTCTGAGCCATCTCTGATGTGTGTCTTGCTCTGACACACTGGGATCTAGAGTTTGGCAAGAATCAGCTCATTCTGGGGCAGCTATTTGCAGGCTACAGAGGGCACAGCCTCTATGATCTCACAGTTTCCCACTGGCCCTCGAGGGGTTGGATGCCTGTCCAGGGTCACACAGCTGGCCACAGGCCCAGAGGAGGCAGGGTTTGTGTCTGCTGACTCCTCCTGACCCTGGGACTCCTTCAGTCCCATTTCCTATGAGGCCTCCTCGGGACCGTTAGCTGATATCATCCTCCCACACCTGCAGTTTATCAGATCAGGAATCACGTATCAGCTTCCTAATCACCTTCTTTCCCCAGCAGCTTCCTCAGGGGCATCCTCTCTGCTCAAAGCTGTCCTGGGTTACACCAAGCCCTCTTTGTGCCTGCTAGGGACTGGTCATCCTCCTGGGGATGGGGCCGCCTTCAACTGGGGGACTACTGCATCCAGTTTATTTTCTTTGACTCTCCCAGTCCTGTTTATAGGGCCCCCACCCAGCTCTGATTTGCCTTTGAATCTCTCCGGTGAACTTGGTAATGACTTCGGTCTGGGACCACGCTCCTTCTGGACCTCTCTGCCCCACCCTCGCATATGTATCCCCCTTGGTGATTTGTCTTCCCTCATGGCACCTTGGAGGCTTGTTTATACTCCCTATGGCCCAGTATATGCTAGGGGTCTGTTTACACACACGCACACACACACGCACGCACACCCGTAAAACGGGACTCGAATAGTCCCTTGGGACCTTGTTTGTACTCCTTTACCTCTTAAAAACCCTTGCTTTCCCTTTCCTCTGTCCCATCTCCCTTGGGTACCCGTTTACTTGGCCCGCGACCCCCTACCCCCATGTGCCTCACCCCCACCCTGTGCGCCCCTTCCCTCCCCTCACCATGGCGAAGCCCGAGAGCAGGGCAGACGTGCGGCTGGAGGCTTTGAGCTTGGCCCGGCTGAGGTAGAGGCGGCGCCAGCTGAGGGCCCGCAGCGAGTGCTGACTGGCCCCCATGAGGTCCAAGTAGCCGCGGTGCACGAACTCTCGGTACGTGGCCGAGCCCGCGGGGCTCTCGGCCTCCGGGTTCAGCGGGGCCTGTTCGCCCGCGTCCCCCTCGCCGCCCTTCATCCTGGGGGCCGCAGCACTGGGCGGGCTGGGTGGTCACGGGGGCGCCGAGTCGCCCCGGGGGTCCCACGAGGGCCGGCCCAGGCGGGTGGAAGGCCCCATCCCCGGGCGGGGCGAGCGGGGATGCCGGCGGCGGACGCCCAGGAAGAGGTGCCCGTGTGGAGCAGGGAAAGCAGGCGTCTGCGAGGAGCCCCAGGGGCCGAAGCCGGATAGTAGAGGCCGAAACCGGAACTGGGGCGGAGGCGGAGCCCGAACGGCCACAGGATGGGGTGGAGCTCGGGCGGGGGTTGGGGCGGGGAACGAAAGACTGTCGGCAGAGATCCCGAGGGACCTCGCGACCCCAGGCCACTTCACTATCACCCAGGCGCCCGGACCCCAGCCTAGGACTGGGAGTTCCCGGGCCCTGGACAACTCGGCACACTTGGACAGCCCCTAGATGCCCAGACCTCCAAACCCCTCCCCGTAAGTAGTGAGCTGGGGGAAGGTGAACCCATCCACCTGTAGGCACCGCAGGCTGTCCGGCATCCTCAGTTCCGAGAAGCTGGGAGGTCCTAAGGACCCCCAGATCCATCCGGGAGGCCCAAAGGATGAGCACTCCGGTCGTCCCAGCTCTTCCCCCCCACCCCAACGCCGGTGAGAGACACACGAACGCGGCGGCCCTGGCTGGAAGATTTTGAGTTTTATAGCAAACCGTATTGTACAGACCTGGGGCCCAGGGGCCCAGCCCGGCTGGGACCCCCACTTGCCCCCGCCGGGCTGCCTCCTCCCCCTCCCCCAAGCGGCCCCATCCTCAAGCCTTTCGCGATACCCAGAACCCCCTCCCCTCCGGCCTTTGGTCCGCCCAGTCCCTCCCCCCACCCTCGCACCTCCCTGTTACCTGAGGTATGTGGATAGATCCCCCCTCCCCTACATGGTACAACCCGGCTCCCCCGGGGTGGGGCCTGGGCCGAGGGGCGGGACCTGGCCCCAACTCCTCCCCGTGGCTCCCCAAGCCCCGCCCCCGCAGGGTGGGGGAGGGCCAAGAGTCTGTTACTAAGTTCCCATGGCAACTAAGAGGGGCCATTTCCAGCCTTAGCACTGGCTTCGGGAGGTGTCCATTGGCTGCTATTTCCATGGCAACCAGGAGTGGCAGTTCCCTGGGCAAATGGGATACAAGTTTCCATGACGATGAAAGAGTGGGAAGAGCCAAGCTGGAGGAGTCCCATCTTCCCCATCATTGGGCTGGCACCCCACCCCCACCCCCACCTTAGGTCAGGAGGGGTGGAGCTGCTCAATACAGTAAAGCAAGAGAGAGCCTGGGGGTGGCGCAGTCCAAACTGGGTGCCCACCAGTCCAGTCTCAGTCCAAGCCGATCAGTCCCCTCACTCCGGCTCCCCCAGGTCCGAGGTTCCCCCGGTTCAAGTAACACTTCAGTACAGATGAATGTTCAAGTATTGTGCGGGGAGACAGGTAGGGGGCTGGGGTACCCCTCACCACTCCCCTGGGCCACGCTGAACAGCGGGTAGGCCCGCGGCCCCCACTCCTCGCAATAGCTGCCATTGTCAGTGACGTTCAAGGAGTCAGGGTTGGGGGGGGAAGGAACTGAAATCTGGGGAGGGAGTAAGGAGAGGGGTGTGACCCCCTGAGGGGGTACTACTGCCCCCACACCTGCTCTTTGCCCCCACCCCTCTCTCAGCCCTGGCTTTCCCCTGGTTCCCCGAGTCCCCCCCCCCATCTCTGACACGTGGATCCCCAATTGCTCCTCTGGTTTCCCTTTTTGGCCCCACCCCCACCC